AATTTATGTTTTAATCACAATTTTTTATAATAAAATTAATGATTAAATCTTATTTTTGTATTAAAATTTTCATTTATTATATATTGTGTATGAGAATGTAATAGCAATAATGTCTTCTTTATACTAGATTTAGATTATACAACTATACATAATTTATTAGTATTAAAAAATTTTCAAATCATATAATTAGTTTTAAAAAAATATATTACGTTCTAAAAATATCACAAAAAATTTATATTTTTTATGTTTTATATCATAAATATTTGGAAAATATAGAATATTGAGCAGTATATGCCATAACCTACGGCTCATATAATCACTTGACAGCTAATATAGAATGAACTAAACCCCAAAATAGTCAAATATATTCAATGAAATTTGACTGTAATTGATTTAAGTCAGACATTTTCTTTTTAATTTGATCTTGGTCAACTTTATACCACATGTATAGCGTTCATTCAAGTTAGGGTTATACTTAATCATAAAATTTAGGTGCAGCTTTTAAAATACTTTTAGTATTGTATTTTAATTAAAAATATTAGTTCATTTTAACAATGCACGACAAATTTTAAATGTGAATAATTTATCAAACTATTATCCTAAATTATTTTGAAAAAATATCCAATACAAAATTGCATCGGAATCTGAAACACTGCCTTTTACTAATTCAATGACGAAGTCAAAATTAATACTTTAAGAAATCGCAACATTTATGCATATTTATTGTTCGTATGATCGTTATCGATCAAACCTTTAGTATTTCGAATTAATACCATTCATGTTATCTTTATTATTGCTGATAAAAACATGGATAATTAGTACATCCGTTATTATTTTAGATATGCTATTTTTTTTATTCTTAATATTGTAATTTTATGCATCTATTTTTTTTTGAAAAAATTTAGGCTTTTTATATAAATTTATTTATTTATTTTATTCGATTTGACTATCTAGATGTGGCAGGTGAATACATACACAAATACTTAAATCCAATACTTTACTTAAATGATACTGACTTACTTGTCACTAAATTAATCTCTGATAGTTTATTCTAATTTTTTAGTGCATAATTAATATTAAATAAAATAAATATTATAACCTTAAGTTCTACTACTTATTATATTATTTTTAAAGTTTGATGGTGTGTTTTTACTAAACTAATTAATTTGAATATATGTTAAATATCTACGTATTACTTTAAAATTTTCATTTTAACGAATATTAATTTAAAATTGTTTGAGCAATTCAGATGTGCAAACGCATGTATTGTCGGACTCAAAGAGTTATTTGTAAATAATGTAAAAGTACAATTAGTATAATCACAATGAAAAATATAATAGAATTAATGTTATACCTGACTAGTCCACAATTTTTAAAAGAAATGAAGGCACTTTGACCTTGTTTTGTCTTTACACAAATTTGGTTTCGGGCACAAAAAAAAGGTGTTTGTTTGTAAGTATAATCATAGTAATTTTTTTGTGCATTCTATAAGTATCATTAAATTAAATTAAATTATTTTTAAAAAATAGATTTAAAATTATATTATGTAACTACTTTTATTTGTAATGATCAAGCTATCTTATTAATTTAAAACGAATAATTAAAAATAATCAAATATGTTCTTATTTTCTTTTAACCTATTATATTATTCTTGATAAAATATAATAATTAACATTTATTTCTTTTACTTTTACATAAATAAATTTTCTCATTTAATATATCTCGTATACGTGTATATACATATATAATGCAATAAAAGTTTATTATTTTATGTAAAGTAGGAAGTTGTAGAGGCTATTCCCAGTGTCACAGTACATATACGCAGCCAAGTAATTGACGCACCTAATTCATGTAATTAAAGGAATAAATGACATTTCATAAGCATTAAATGGGGATTACAATTTTGACTACCTGTCACGCGTGTTTCAAAGTGATTAATTAACTGCAGAAGAATATTTGCAATATCTCACACAAAACTTATTTTGGTTTTGTAATAAAATGATTATTTTCCATACCATTAAATCTCAGGCATTTATATTTAACACCTTATAAATAAAGTAGGGTACTTTGTAGTTTGTATATTACATTTTATGAAGTCACGGGGTCTATTGTGTCTTTAAATCCTTTTCATTTCATAAATTCTCCCTTCTTTCTATGATGATCGGCTTGTAACAAATCATATTAAATTTAGGGTGGTTTTTCACCTTTGAATTCGTATGAACACGATGAATTTATTTTCCTTGAAATAGAGCCAAGCTGTGAGGTTGAGGATGTGGTTTTCCTAATTTGGAAGAGGATTTTTTCATAAATAAAATTTTTAAGGCTTTGTTCAAGAGTTCAGAGAAAGAAACAAAACAATTTAAAAAATAAAGAAAGAAAGTAAGGGAAAAAATTCATATAAAATTCTTCAATTTAAAGTAATCAAAAAACATATAATGATGACTTATAAACTCTTCTACTCTTGTTTAAAATTTTTAAACAAAAGTAACTACAACATAAATTTTTCTTTTTATTTCTTACAAAAATTTAACTCTGAAACAAAGTTAAAGGAATAATAAATTGATTAAAGATATAAAATATCTATTTTGTCTACTCATATTTAAATGTTATTTCAGCAATTAGACAAAGACATGGGAAATACATCATCAATATTTTGTAAACAGAGGGGGGAAAAAAATCAAAAGGATGATAAGGTAGATATTTCTTGTACAAGATTGAATCAAGGACATCGATATAAATTATAGCATTTTTTTTTTCACATTGGAATGTAAATAGATTTATATTTATTTTGACATTATCAGCTGTAGTTTATGTCTTAGATTTATGTTAAGAGACTTTCATGTTTTTAAACACATATTTAGTGTTAAGACTTAACGATTGTTAGCAACACTGAGAATCTGCTTTCACTTTTGTAAATTTAAATTAGTTTATGAGAAAACACTTTTTTTTGTTTACTTTTATAAGCAAACGTAAAATACATTTTTCATTTATAAATTATAAATTTTTGCATAAAATATAAAAACAAAAAGAACCCTGTCTTCGCTTGTTTTTAAATGTATTTAAAAGTAAGATACAAAACAAAAAACAAATAACATATTTATAATTATCGATAAAAATATTATAATAAAATATATCCTTAATTTTAATTTAGAGCTTGACGTACATTCATTATATTAAGCATTCGATTAATTCATATAAAGTAAAGTAAATATTTAACTAAATTGACACACAACCTTGCAATTTCATACGGCAATGTGGATGTCCAAAGGTGTGTTGTTTGATTGAGAGGATATTCTCAATTATTGTTAAAGGATTTTGGTATTTTTCAAATGACATTACATAAAATAATTTATTTGATCAGTCGTTAGTAAATTGCATTACTTTTAACAGCTAATTAAATTAAACTAAATAAATAAACATTTAATAAGCACGTAATTAATGATTAAACAGAAAGATTTCAATTAATGACATGTTAATTAATAAATAATTAATGTACGTGTACTTAGTTGGACTGTGGAAATAAACTACACTGAAACGTTGCGTCTATTCGTAAACTACATCGTATGCTTTCTTAGCAACATCATATCCACCTTCAAAATCGTAGAAAAAGTTCTCATGACAGGTTTCAAACACAAAATTAGTCACGTAAAAGTTTAATTACCATGCTATTTGTATATAAAGATTCTTATCATCATGGATAGAATTTTATATTATTTAACTATGCAATGATTTATCATAAAAGACTTTGACTTTCAATATTGTTAGTGTCATTGTCAAATTATTGTATTAATTTAAAACATAATTAAAAAAAGTAATAAAAAAATGATACTTTGAACGAAAATAAGAAAACCAAATTCACTTTTCTTGATTCTAAAATCTTGAACGTTGTTAATGTCGTGATTGTCTTAAATTGTAATCGAAGCAAGGACAAGAGGCTTTCATGAAATTTTGCAAAATAGGGAAACACAAAATGATATTATTCACTATGTTTCCTTTTCACCCTCTAAGGTTAAATATAGTAAAAAGGATTGGAAATTCACATAAGAAAATGCGTCGCATGCAAAGCCTTTTCCCCACTTTCTCTTCAGCCCCACTCCCCTTTCTTACAAGTTACAATGGAAACTGTGGAAAAGGGAAAAAACGAGGCAAATCCAAGAATGGATAAAAAGTTGGATTTGTGACACACAATATCCAATCTGTTAAATCCTACAGTCACGCCATCCATTCTCAATTTGGGTTACACTCTATGTTCCCATTTATCATCTTCCACGTTACCCCCTACAACCCAAACGCAACCTTTATTTTCCCGAAATGACCATATTGTCCTCATCCCTCGTCGCTCTCATTGGCTGTTCTCAGACACCCTCGGGTACTATCATGGTCCGCCACACACGAGATTACTCCCATTTAAAAAGACAAAGCGAGTAGATTGTAGTTGACAATAGTAATAGCGGATGGACGCGTGTGTACACGCGCTCCAAGTCGAATTGTGATTGGTAGCGGACATCACGAACCCCCTCTTCTAACAGTGGACCCCTCTCTCTCTCTGATGCCATTCATTTCTTCACAGTTAAGGTAGAAAAATTAGGGTGTCTATAGAGTTGAGAAAGACGTGGTTGAAGAAGCAGCATCTTACAGGAGCTAGCATTACACTCGCCAAGTTTGGGTTTGAGTTAGGAAAAAAGCAAATATTAAGAGAGAGAAAAACCATTGACTTTCTGATTACCCCATGGTCACTGTAAGTCAGCTCCACCATTTTTTTAATTTGTTATTGAATCAAGATATCAAGATATATAATAATATTTAATCTGTCCTTTTCTCTTCCACGGATCCGAGAGAGAGTGTGTGGAACAATCTTAAAATAAAAAAATATTATTAAAAATATTTTATAAAGAGATTTTTACACCTTTTAAAATTAATGTGTTTGCTGTCAAATTGATAACCCACGAATTTGATAAAAGAAAAATCATAACTTTGTTGGCTGTGGAACCCAGTAGTCGTGTTTGTTTTTTTTTTTTTTGGCACTTTTACTTTGCACACTGTCAAATTAAAAGGTATCGTTTTCTCCGTACCATGGTTGGTTTGTATACCATCTAACTTTTTCCATTTCTCTGTTTCTCACTTATATCAGTGTGGGGGTGGAGAGAGAATCAGAGAGAGAGAGAGAGAGAGAGAGAGAGAGAGAGAGAGAGAGAGAATGGCGGGGGTGGTGTCAACTGGTTCTTTTTGCTTAGATTTGGTGTGATGCATTTGAAAAGTCAGGGTGGTGTGTGAATATGACTATGGGATATACATGTGATATAAGGTTTTGTGTTTGTTGCTGTCCTTTTTATTTTTAAAATATATATGTGTGTGTTAAAGATTCTTAATCCTTGTTTTTTTTATATTATTTTTTCCTCTGAAACGTTTGGCTTAGACCTCTTTGGATTTTCTCCTTCCTGGGGTCTCTTTCAAAATTCTCAATACTGACAAAGAATTGGTCAAGTGTGAAATATAGAAAAACAAGTGCTTCTACCTCTTATGTGTCACTGTTTTGTGTTTTTTTCTGCTGTTGGGTTTGCAGACATGAGATGCAGGTGTGAACCTTGGATCAGAAGGGAAGGGATTTTCTTGTCCTGTTCCTCTTACCATCTGTTTCTTGGATAGATTTTCAGCTTTTTGCTAGAGAGAGAAAGGGGCTGTAAAGTCTTGTATGGGGTGTCGACAAGGAAACAACTTTTTGGCTATCTCTACTTTTTCATAAAAAAAAAAAAAAAATCCAATCTTGTCAGTTTTTATCTCAATCTGGTTTAAAGGTCAAAAAGTTAAGAGTAGGGAATCGAAAACTGAAAAGTTTCTTGGCAAAAGAGACAGTGACAATTTCGGGCGAAAAATTTATAAGTAAAAAAACTGAGGAGCGCAAGAGTCAACACAGAAGAAATAGAGAGTACTCGTCACAGAGAAATTTTTAGGTGATAGAAGAGAAAGGGTCAATCCAATTTTTTATAACCTTTTTGTGGGGTTTGAGTGCTTGATTGACATCAAGAGTGTGAACAAAGGCAGTTGGGGTTGATATTTATTCCTCAACCCATTTCCAGTTCAATGCAAAATTCATCTTCTTTCTCCTTCCCAACTGTATGTTCTATCTATCTCCTGTTTGGTTTTGGTCTCCATCTTTGAGCATCTTATTTTCTCCTTTACATCAATCTTGACATTAAATTTGATTTGCTCGTCTTGTAATTCTTCCTTATTGTTTTTGGCTGATGAGACTATTCCACAGCAAAGGAAAATGGAAGGTCACGGTGAGATGGGTCTCATTGGGGAAAATTTTGATACTAGTTTGATGGGGAGAATGAGGGACGATGAGTATGAAAGCCGTTCTGGAAGTGATAACTTCGAAGGTGTATCTGGTGATGACCAGGATGGTGGTGATGATACGCCACAGAGGAAGAAGCGATACCACAGACACACTCCTCACCAAATTCAAGAGCTTGAGGCGTACGGCTATACGAAATTTTGCAACTTCTTAGTTTTTTTGCTGATTTGCTTATCTGTGATTGAGTTATGTGGTAACTGGTTTGTGTTTTGGTTTTGCTCTTACTGGTTTTTAGTTTTTTCAAGGAGTGTCCTCACCCTGATGAGAAGCAACGGTTGGATCTTAGTAAGAGGCTTGCGTTGGAGAATAAGCAAGTCAAGTTCTGGTTTCAGAATCGAAGAACCCAAATGAAGGTGAACTTGAATAATAGTATAGTAATATTGCACTTGAATGTAGTTTGTTTATGCAATTTAGACTATTGTACTAATTGAACTGCATTTTCTTGAATCAGACCCAGCTAGAACGCCATGAGAACATAATGCTTAGGCAGGAAAATGAGAAGCTTAGAGCTGAGAACAGTTTGATGAAGGAAGCCATGTCAAATCCAGTATGTAACAACTGTGGTGGCCCGGCTATTCCTGGCCAAATTTCATTTGAGGAGCACCAGATTAGAATTGAGAATGCTCGACTAAAGGATGAATTGAACCGTATATGTGCCTTAGCAAACAAGTTTCTTGGCAAACCAATCTCATCATTGACCAGTCCCATGGCTCTTCCAACCTCAAACTCTGGTCTAGAACTTGGTATTGGAAGGAATGGGATTGGTGGTTCAAGCACTCTTGGCACTCCCTTGCCAATGGGACTTGATTTGGGAGATGGAGTGTTGGGCACCCAACCTACAATGTCAGGGATTAGACCACCGATGGGGTTGATGGGAAATGAGGTTCAGGTAGAGAGATCTATGCTTATAGATCTTGCATTGGCTGCTATGGAGGAATTACTGAAGATGACTCAAGCAGATACCCCTCTTTGGATTAAGAGTTTGGATGGTGAGAAGGAAATATTGAACCATGAGGAGTATGCAAGGATGTTTTCTCCTTGTATTGGTGCAAAACCCACTGGTTATGTAACTGAAGCTACAAGAGAAACTGGGATTGTAATCATCAACAGTTTGGCACTCGTGGAAACTTTGATGGACGTGGTATGATTATGATGATCAACTCCTTAGGCTTTGGTCAAGTTTAACCGATTTTATTGGAAATTTTATAGTCATTCTCAAATGAATAAGAACCAGTTCACAAAGTTTTTAATGTGGTTTAAGTTCGCCAACTTACTTTGAGTGATGACATATTAGTTCTAGGTTTTTGAATTGCCATTCAAGTTGATCTGGATTGCATTCCATTCCATTTTTATCATTAGATTTTGATAAACTTTGTCAGAGACCAAAGCAGTGTTAGATAACTCTTTGATTTGGTGCTTCTATTCCTCATGGACTTGGACAATTACTTAGTATAGAATTGGTGCGGGTTTGTTTAATATCTTGTTTTAATTGATTATTTCTTTGAATAGAATCGGTGGGCAGAGATGTTTCCGTCTATGATTGCTAGAGCTGTCAGCGTCGATGTTATATCTAGTGGCATGGGTGGAACCAGAAATGGTGCTCTACAAGTGGTGTGTTTCTTTGCTGAATATTTGCTTCACTTTGCCTTAGTATTTGCTGGAACTGATTAGGATTGGGCATTTCAGATGCATGCCGAGGTTCAATTGCTTTCTCCACTAGTTCCCGTTCGTCAAGTGAGATTCCTCCGGTTCTGTAAGCAACATGCAGAAGGTGTGTGGGCTGTGGTCGATGTTTCTATTGAGATTGGTCATGATGCTGCTAATGCACAGCCATTCATGAGCTGTAGGAGGCTTCCTTCTGGCTGTATTGTGCAGGATATGCCCAATGGTTACTCCAAGGTAAGTGCTGATCTATGTTCTTTTAAGACTTCTTTATTTTTTTGTATGTTACTCTTTTTTGCTTTCTGTGGAGTTCAAATGCTTTTTTTTAATTGAGGATATCTTCTTTGGGGTGTTTTGTTATAGCTGATGAGATAGTTTTTTGCAAGAACTTGCCCTTGACTTCCTAATTTAGTGAACTTTTGTTTTGACTAGCGTAAATAGAATCAGTTTGAACTTTGCCTCAGAAATCAGTTTTTTTTTACTTAAGAAGATGCTTCCCTAGTTAACTTGCTTGTTGTCCGTATTTAATTTGTCCAGTGATACTCCCTAGAGAATAGTGAATCAAGGCTTATATTGTTTAGCAAGTGTTTGAAACTTCATTTCTGTTTGGCATCTTTTAGTATTTAACAGTGCATGAAAATTCTCAATCTTGGATTCTTCAATCTTTGTTATGAACAATACACTTGATGCTTCTATTCCGATCTCTTTTTGTATAAAATATACCAATTTTTTACTGCATACGAGATCATCATGACCTGGATCCAGTGACTTGCTGCTATAATATATTGGTGACAGGTGATTTGTTAATCCGTGCCCTTTATTATATTCATATAGGTTTTTATAACGTTAAAAAAAAATTCCATAATCTTCTCTGTGTTGGGATTCACCTCCATCCCATTGACATCTGCTTCAATTTTGACATTTCACGTAATCCTCCACACACTTTAATTAGGGCATTAATTTATAATTAGCCTAGGGTTTTATGTCAAACATTTTTTATGTGGTTAAATGTGGACTGTGATGTCATTCAATGGTCATCCATGTAAATTTTTTATCTATAGCCAACTCAAAAGTTTAGTCACTACAGTTCCTTATGATTCTTTAGTATCTTAAATAGTTAAATTTTTTATTATTGCATTGGGCTTTACGCACTGTTTATAGGTTACTTGGCTTGAGCATTGGGAGTATGATGAGAGTGTAGTCCACCAACTTTATCGCCCATTGCTTAGTTCTGGTGTTGGATTTGGTGCTCATAGATGGATCGCCACCCTCCAAAGGCAGTGTGAATGCTTGGCTATCCTCATGTCTTCTTCCATCTCTAGTGATGACCATACTGGTATATTATTATATGATTTTTTTAATATATGTCTAATGACACACCAAAAAACCTTGAGTATGATAATTTTTTTTATGTATCTCATTGAGTACATCTTAAAAAACCGATTATTATTTGAATGTCACGTTTATTTTTAATATTCCTTTCATCACATGTGACACTATAAATTGTGTAAACTTTGGCATTTGGGTGTTTGCAGCACTGAGCCAAGCTGGTCGGAGAAGCATGTTGAAATTAGCACAACGAATGACTGGTAACTTCTGTTCAGGGGTTTGTGCTTCATCGGCTCGGAAGTGGGATAGCCTTCATATAGGGACTCTCGGTGATGACATGAGAGTGATGACTAGGAAGAACGTGGATGACCCTGGTGAGCCTCCAGGGATTGTTCTCAGTGCTGCAACTTCTGTTTGGATCCCGGTGTCACGGCAAAGGCTCTTTGATTTTCTGCGTGATGAACGACTCAGAAGTGAGTGGGACATCTTGTCCAATGGTGGACCAATGCAAGAGATGGTCCATATTGCCAAAGGTCAAGGACATGGAAACTGTGTTTCTCTACTTCGTGCTAATGTAAGTCATTTTTCAATCTTGCATCATAATAGTATAAAAGTTTTTTAATAGTTTTTTATTTGTTTTAAATTAAATTTAAGGAGAAATATTAATAAAATTGTTGAACAAATCGTGTTTCTGATATAATAAATGATTTTAAAAAAAAATCATTTTTGTCCTCTTAAACTATGTATTTGGTGCATATGATAGAAATAACGTTCTTGTGTTGAGATTGATTCGTCTTTTCTTAGGCTTCTCCCTTTTTTAAATTTAAATACCATTTTAAAAAAAATATCTTTTAATTCAAAAACAAAAGCACAGAAAAAAAATGGAACTTCCATAGAAGTTAATTGGAGAGAAACCTTAGAAAAGTTTGGTGAAACAATATTTTCGTTCTTGATGCTATTTTTTGTATGTAGATTTCACTGTGTGGTGTCTTATTTTCAGGCCGTTAATGCGAATGACAGCAGCATGCTGATTCTGCAAGAGACATGGATGGATGCATCATGCTCGGTGGTGGTGTATGCACCAGTTGACGTGCAATCCTTGAACGTGGTGATGAGTGGAGGAGATTCTGCATACGTTGCACTCTTGCCCTCAGGCTTTGCCATTCTTCCCGATGGACATAGCAACAACAGTTGCAATGGAACTTCGCAAAAGGGTGGTGCAAATGATGAAGGTGGGGGAAGCTTGCTCACAGTTGGGTTCCAAATTCTGGTGAATAGCCTCCCAACAGCTAAGCTCACAGTGGAATCAGTTGATACTGTGAATAATCTCATCTCATGCACCATTCAGAAGATCAAAGCTGCTCTCAGAGTTGCATGACATCGTGCAACCTTTTTGTTATCGTATGTTGTTTCCTTGTTTTGTGTCTTTATTTTCATTTCTAAAATGAATTGAGGGGTTATATATTTGGGTGTATAGGATCTTATAGAGTAGTGGAAGAGGCTGAAACAGAAAGGATCGCGTAAGGAAGGTTTCGAGTCAAGAACGAACCGCCATAGAGAGGGACTTGGGCTGCATGCACTCCCCGCTGCAATGCAAGTTTTCTTGCTCATGGTGGTTCGGGTATTGACTCGTTGACCTGCGAGTTGGTCTCAGCACTCTTGTTTCTCCAAAAAATTGTGCGTGTTACTTCTTAGTGCCCCCATCCTATAGAGTTGCGAATTCAAACTGCAGAACTAATGTCGTTTCTAATGCATTTTCATGCTTTTCTCTTTCTTATATGTTGCCTCCAATTTGCCTTTCCTCGAAAATTGGGTTTTAAATTTCCAAAGGTGGGTGCTGTTACTTTATATATATATATAAATTCATAAAAATCTTCTAATTGTATTCTCCTAAAGTTAGACGCATGGTGTTTTCACTTTCACTAATATATTCAATTATCAAATTGAAAGAATTGTATAAATAGAAAGTCAACTGGATGAGTATACTTGTACCTGCCGCCTAAATATGTAGGTTTATTTTGACGTATACAGCTGGTAGGTGAGTGAATAAGAGAATCAGTATCTATTCAAATCCTTTTAAAAAATTCAGTATAAATATATTAAATTATATGATCATACTCGTTTTTAAAAAAGATGTAACTTGGAACATGGGGAATTACGATGATAAATTTTATCGATTTAGAATGAATGTCGATTTTTTTAAAATTCATGGCCTCGCTTTTTTTTGTCTACAGAAATGTTCTAGCCAAGTGGAGATTAAGCTTTCTTTTTTTTTCTTTTTCTTTTTTTATGAACACGGTTTCAGGATGAAAGAATGGCGTTTTAGTGGAAAATTAGATGAGTTTCTCAAAGAAAACTTACCTTCATCTCACCACAAAAAAAAACTGAGTAGGGTTAGTTATTATATGTAAGATTTAATGCAATTAGATTATAGCTAAGCTAAAAGAGGATAGTTACCACTCTAACTGGTAAACGATAACAATATTTCATTATTTTCGTTTTCGGATTAAATTCTCCCGTTATACTACCTCTTTCTTCTTCTTATCTCGTTATTTGTTTTCTCAGTATCCATTTATATCATAGAAATAACTCATACGGAGGGAGAGAGAGTGAGAACTATATAACCCTTCTAATGGTCTTCATATTTGTTTGTAACTTTGTCATTGTGTGTTTCAGAATTACAAAATTAAAGAATAATTATAATATTTGAAGATCATGCAAGCAGGAAGAGGATACTGTTTAGGTATGTTTAGCTTTTAAAAAAATAAAATAAATACATCAAGTTAGACGATAGAAAATTCAGAAAGTCTCACTTAAAATGACAAATTATGCTAATAATTTTCAATTTACTTTTTCCTTTTATACTTGTCAAGAAATATTTGCAGATTTCAAGTTTTAACAACCAAAAAACATAAGATTCATAATTTAAAATTGAAATATCATAATATATTTTTAAAATCAAAATAGTATATTTAAAAGTAATTAAATAATCCAAATGACAAATTCCATATTGTAAGAGTCCGGTTTTCAACTTGTTGATTTGGGCCAACTGTTGCAATTTGGGCCTAGTATTAAACAAGATTTTGATCCTACGACCAAAACTCAATATTGCCCATTCATTTCTGGTAATTTACCGAAACCTCCTTCCCATAGAGCGAAGACACACGACCAAGCTTAACAGCAAACCCAAAACATGGATCTTGTTTCCTCATAGTTCCAATATCATCAAACTCATATTTCTACATATACCAATCACTTGCATGAAAACCACTCATGGTTAATAATTCAGAACACATAGTGCCTATAAGGAGATATCATTGGATAATCGTAAAGTACTTTACGAATAGATTGTAATCACAGTATAATTTGTTCCCCCTCGATTTCAACTGTTAATCTAGTCTCCGAGGAAAAAAAAAACCAGAATTCATAGTTAGATACCTATTTTTCTGCTCCTACGTTCATGTTTGTATGATCTAATTAATCCTTGTTTTTAATGTTTCTTCTATCAGTCTGTGCACTCATCTGTGGTATATCTTTGGCAATTCCAAATTGGTGTGATTTTTCACTTATTGTTTGCAATATTATTAGGCTTTAATTTCATTAATTTATCTTTCTTTTGATTGGGATGCACCAATTATGTAGAAAACAAATTATTTTAAGACGTACTTCAATTTAAAGCTGCATCTGTACTATGAATATTTTTTGGGTAGAAGCTGAACCTGGGAAAGTTCACAATTACTGAATTTTTAATACTCAAAAACATTGCTTTTTTTTTTTCATGCAGTTACGCTATTTCCAAACAATGACATGAAAGGAACTCACCTGTTTAGTTTTGCTGCTTCAATGCTGCTGTTACAACTTGTCAATACTTTGGGTATCGAATATTCTCAACACACAACACGTCTATCTGTTTGTTTAACATTTGAATCTATTTCATACAAAAAGAATACTGTTGTGTGAAATATATTGGGTAGAAAATAGGTAAAACAAGGCACGAGCAACCTTTCTTATTGTTTCAACATCTCCATGCTCTCCACTTTGCTTAGCAATTGTTCAAGCTATTAACCTTTTAAATATTAACTTCTGGTCAACAAAGAACTTTGGTTTATTTTACTTGTTCATCATATGTTTAACAGTCCTTAAGCTCATATAAAAGGATATCTATTTCTCGTTTAAATCTATCGACCTTTTGGATTAGTTGACATATTTATGTCCTTTTGCAAGTTGACACAAACTCATGCTGCTTCTGCCAGCTGAGACAATAAAATTGATTCAACTTGCATATAAAGTTGTGCTCTGATGAACTCACCTGTAGCAGAATCATCAACTCTTGAATGATATGGGGTGTGTTTGGTATATGATAAAATATGAGAGGCTGGAAAATAGCAATGATTATGGTCTTATATGTCCTTCAAAATTCGAATACATTGCCTTTTGCAACCAGCCCATTTTAATTCCTACCAAGCACCTCATTAGTGTTTGTGACGTACAACTAAATATATTAAAAGATGCAGACTTGCAGTTTTTGACATTCATGATCTCAAGTGAATGAAATATAAGTAATTACAACAGATGATGTTAAAAAAATTTGAAGGGTTGGTGAATTAGCAACGTGACTAGTGATTAGGAAACTAATTTAGTTGTTCGTGACCTTGAATTGAAGTTCTCCAAAAGGTAAAAGATAACCAAGTCTACTTTAAGGGAATCGGATTCACCCAGTTCTGAAGAAAAGCATGTAAAATGACAATATAAAAACGAGGGTGACAATAACTGAGTTGCTGAAAAGTTTCCCCTATAAATTAACTTATTTAACTGTTGTTTGGAGTTTATGCACTTATGACTCGTGTAATCGTGAAAAGGCATTTGGGCTTACGATATTGCATCAATTTTCTTTTAAGTTACGGTGGCATTGTGTCTAATTCTGTAAAGAGGAGTATCATTTCAACAAAATTTGTCATATCAGCAAATTAAAAGACGTTGTCACACGAATAATATAATTAAATTTTAGTGCAACTTTTTTTTTGTGGTTTCCTTTTTCAAAACTAACATTTGGGTTTCCAAAATTTGACTGTGACTTGGTAAAGCAAAAATATAATCAAAACATGGATTTCGTGGATTGACATTTGACAGTTGTATTTCGTGGATTTGTTTAATGAGTGACTGTTTTTGGAGTCATACCAATCACAGGCATCACAAATTGAAGTGTGGTAGATTTTATTGAGTAGATGGCTTCGCAGGTACACAAAATAAAAATCTGCCCCACTAGACAAGGATGAATGATTGTGAATTGCTAGCAACTATCATTAACCTTGTTGAAATTTAGCCAAATTTAGATAACAGTATTAATGCTTCTCTTACACTCTGACATCTTATAGTTGCAAGTTATTAATCCTTTGAAGCAGCATCAAAGTCTCCATCTTCAGCAAAATCATCTTTTGAGTGATTTTATTTCCTTAAGAAGTGTTGAGTGATGTGTTATGTGGACCATATAATGGGCAACAAGTTGAACCTTCGCATTCATGTGATGTAACTCTTGCTTTATTTGTTGGGCGCTGATCCTTAAATGCACTAATTAGCTGTCATCTAAAACTCAGCTACCCCGTGTGTTTTGAGTTGCGAATTCATTGCAAAATTTTGACGGTTGATCATCTTTCATTTGTGCAATGGGGGCTAAGCTGAACATCAACCAACATTTCTATGCGCCTAAAGATTACGATATTCTGCATAATTCTGATTTATGGTAATTTTTTAATGTCAAATTTATTTCACTTTAAGTAAGAATATGTGAAATGTACTATGAATTTCAACTCACTTAAAACCCAAATTAACGAGAATTAGTATAACCCATGTTCGAGGATTTTTAAAATAAAAAAAAATCATAAATTGATCCAATGTAAATAGTAAAAAAGATGAAATGAAAATTCAAAAGTTGATAAAGCTGAAAATCGAACAAACAAAAATTCAAAATAATCAGTTTTTTTTTAATTAAAATAGATTAGATTTCATGTGATTTTAAAATTTGATCAAATTTAATGCAAATTGAATGTATGCAGATACATAAAATTTTGTTTATGACAGTTGTATATATGCAAGTATCTATTTGTAAAAAGTTATTATTTCAATTTATTTATTATCTAAGTTATGCTCTTTCGTTCTAATAATTTTATAATTAGTTGATGGGTGATAATTAGAAGTGATTTTTTTCCCTTGAAAATATGTTTCTTATCATGGAAGAAAATCATTTGAATTTATATTTGCTAATTTGATATTATATTTAAAATTTAAAGTTTAAAAATAATTTTAAAGTAAGATTGGCTAAATTTAAGCAATGATATTTGAGAGCAGTAAAAATTTTTGATAAAATACGAGATATAATTTTTTTCAAGTAAAAATTAAGTTTAAACTACAATTCATTAAATTCAAATTTATCTTAAAAACCATAGTTCTTCAATTTAATATGTTCTAAAGATAGAGATTAACTTTCCAAAATATTTTATAAAAATAATTAATTGTTTTTTAATATAAATTTTATCTTTTTTTTCAAAAGCTATCTAAAATTTTAATCCTTGATCACTTGATTCTACGTATATTTAAAATATTATTCCATACTCTATGGTGTTTAAAATTGATGTTCTAAAGACTTCTAAATTTATTCCAGCACCTCTTAAATTCTTTAAGAAAGTTTAAAATTTTTAGTGGATTTCAAAAAGTTATAGAGAATTCTAAAATATCCTAAACTATAGTGTAATTTCATTTTTTCAGGTACGTGACATCCTCCTAATAAATTAATTAATCAGTTTTTTTTTTTTTTTATTTCTATTAGATGTTCTTAACCTTTCTTAAAACACGATCAGATGCTCTCTCAAGTGTAAATTTAACTAATGATTAATTGCATAATGAAAAGCTAATTGTTTTCGCTGCACCCAGAAATGGTTGTTAATTAACTGATTAATCGGATAATTAATCGGATGATTTTTTTAACAAATTCCGAACAGCTGGCACTCATTTTTGTTTCGTTACGCAATTCATGAAAGGCCCATTACCATTTATTATCAGTTAAATATTCAATAATTAGTTATCTGATTACTAAAATTGTGGACTGACATGTTTGTTCATTATATGTGAAGCACCGCGAAGCTAGTAGGGAAAGATAGAGACAATTCATATTATGATATTTAATTTTTTTTAACGTCTGTTAAATTACACTGATAACAGTTTATTATAATAATTTTTATTTACAATAAATAATATTATAAAAACAATGTTAAATATTATAATTTTTAATAAAAAATAAAATTTCTCCGTTTTTTAACATTTAAAATATAATAATACAGGATACTTCCATGCAAGAATCTTTTGACAATCGGTGAGGACATCATAAAACCTAACGAGAAGCCTAGAATCAGCAACTTTGAAAAATATCTTCAATTTCTGCAGTAGTTAATTGATTACATATTAATTGAATGATTAAAAAAACACTGTCAGAAAGTCAATGATTCGCTTAATGATTTGACCAAAATATTTAGGTCATATTGTGATTAATAAGTTATTTATGCAGACTCAAAGATATCAATCTTGTGTTGTGCTTATCATCGTCAACTTAGCATTTGAAAAATTTGCAAGCTCTTTCGTCGGAGGGATATAAAATTACAGAAAAGGGACAGTCAAATGTGATAGTGCCATCAGGCGTAAGTGGTGGGGAAGAAATAGCAATAATAATAATAATAATAATAATAATAATAATAATAGTGCAAACCGATTAGTTATTTAGACGTGTAAGGTTAATTTATTTAAAAAAATTATCTCAAGAAAACAAACATGTTTAATATTGGGGGAAAAACGAAAAATCTATTTATTTATTCATATACGAATCAAAGATAAAATGCAAATTAAGTAAAATTAATTTTAAGAGTGCTTTGAGATTGAGAATGTTTCTTATTCACTGAGAACCAAAATACTGCAACCATGTTGTATTGCATGCATGCATACATAACGGTTAAAAGTATATTATTAATTAAAATTTCATCTATATTGTTTTCAAATTATTTCTACAAAAATATTTGACTGCCTTTATTAAATGTTTCAGTTCATCTTTTTAAGTAATGGCATTTTTGTCAATAAGAAACCCTTTCGTTTCTGTTCTTCGCTTCTTCCTTTTGGACCAATCACTTTTCTCTTTATCTTTTTTTTATTCTATTTTATTCCCAAGTTTACCTTTTAATATTTTCCTGTTTTGTTGAAATACGGTTCACATAGGTTGCAACTAACCTTATCCTTTAGGTCTACCAAGATGTTTTAAGCTACGACTAGGCATAAAAACATCAACGATGAAAAACAATTATTACAAAGATAATTAGTGATTGCTAAATGAGTTTGCTGTTTCGTATATTAAAGAGGTAAAAAAAACACTCAAAACATAAATTTCATAAAAAGCAATTGGAATGTATATTTATACTTTTAATAATACATATTTTCCCATGACTTCAAATTTTAAAATTTGTATTATCCATTGTCGCAAGCAATGGCAAGATTTGCTGGTCCCTGTTAACCATCACTGTCCGCGATGGCTACATGATCAATAAATAATTTGTCTCCCCCTAGCTTTGTTTCCATGGAACAAAGTTAAGAGAAAAATATAAACAAATAAATGATTTTTTTGTTTAAAGCGTGTTTTTTTATTCAATCAAACAAATAAAGTTGTATTTTTATTATATATATTTTTAGTTTTTTTTTTTTTTAACTAAACAGAGCATTGGTGTTGTATTGTTAAAATATTAAATGATGCATGTCTTGTGCCTTCTTAATTTACCTCAAAAAAGTGAGTCTGAATATGATTTTTATTATATTTGTAAGTCTATTAGATAGAAACCTTAGAGATGGCATGAAGGACCGCAAAATAAACTATCAGAAATCTTAAATATGATATTTTTATTTTTTAATATTTTATTTATAAACATTTATTTGATTATATATATAATAAAATAACTCTTTTTAGACATGGGTATTCATTCTGAAGGCAATCATATCCGAATTAAATAAAATTATTATGAGTGATAAACTTATTTCTTCATGTATTTAGCATAATTATCTTTATTAAAATTTAAATTCAAAATGATAAATTAAATTGAAATAATATTTACTAATTAATTAATATGTTCGGTGTTATAAAATGAATTGTGACCTGAATTAAGTGATTCTAATATAAGCTTTTAAAAAATTACTTATTTTAAGATTTAAAATAATATAATTTAAACTCACATTTTACACACTTAAAAAAAATAAATTACTCTAAATTTGACTTAAAAAAAGAAGAAGAAATGGTTTTGATTCTTCCCTCCATGAAAGCACTTGATAAAGATGGGGAAAATTACTTTTTGTTATATAGAAAGAAGATAAAGAAATTTTGCATTGGGTGTCAGCGCTTGCGTCCCACCAAACTGGACCTAATTCTGTTAGCGTACAAAAAGAGGAAATGAATGAGGGGGAAAATCTGAGCCCTATATTCACGTGAGTGCATTCAGAAATCAACAGTTGTCAATCGTCTCAGTCAACTTGGTCCCACGCATACCGGCTTTGATCGTACCACGTGTACAATGAAATGCCATGTGTCTTATTTACTTTTGGTGGGACCAAAAGACCATGTGTCTTTTGTGGTCCGCGGAGTACCCAATCTCTTTTTGTTTCACCAATCACCAGACCCAGACACACTGACACAATGCCCGCACGCGCTTTGACTCCACTTCTTGGCCTTTTTCTTTTTACGATAGACCGTAAATTATTATATATTTTAGCATTAATCTTTTCTTTCTAAAGAATTTGTAATTTTTTTAAAATATTAAGATAGTCAATTTTTATACGTTTACACTCTCTCATATATAATAAATTTAATAATATACAATTCAGAGTACCTTTTATTTTTAGCTATTGGACTTGTTGCTCGTGCTTTCCTGGGTAGTTTTGCTAATATGTTGCGTCTACCTGTCAAAATAGGCAAATTGCAGGGGATTATCCTGTATAACCTGGCTCTAAGAATATTCATGCAACTACACTGTATATGTATACAAAAACATTTAATGAATATTATCAATATATAAAAATCACATTTTGATGTGTAATTGTAATACGGGTATGAAAATATTGTTAATATAATATAATATTAAATTATAGATGCATTTTTGTCAATTCTCATTTAAACTTTCTTTCACCACTGTTGCATTCGGACGGTAAATCATGGTTTAATGTAAAATTCATTTTATGGTAAACTAGAAAATATTTTTACCCAAATTTCTAAATTACGTTTCCAACCTCATTATGACATATATTTATTAGGAGGTGGAAGCTTGGGGTCCAAATTCCATGTATTAGATTGTTACGCGTGGACAAACCACATCGTACGTCTATAATTATTTAAAATAATTAAAGCATGTGGAGTTTAAGCAGGTTTCATATCATGCTTATTTAAAGTTAAGAAACAATTTCCTTTATGGAATACAATTCATGAGTCTGGGGCCAGTGGATAATTGATAAACATATGCAAGTGGACACATATATCAACTTCATTTTGGCTAAGCACGCGTCTTTGTTCACCATGCCTAATTTTCGAGAAATCGTTTGAAAAAACAAAAAAGAAAAATGAGATATCCCTTGTATAATAACATAATTATAGATAATTTTATGTGTTAGGTTGAATCGTGGCATATTGACAATTATTTTCTCCTACAAAATTTTTAAAATAATACTTATAAGTTATATTGTGAATTAATCAATGAAGAATTTTAATAGTGGGTGCCAGAACAACAAAACCGGGTAACTAACAGACAAACAGAACCTTCAAACCTTAAGCTAGATTACAAATATCTTAAAATTAGTTCCATTGCTCAAAGCTTGTCGCCAATAAATGAGTGCTACACGGATGAATTCATGATAATAAAACACAGAAAAAGCTGAACTACGTTGGTGTTTTTACATTAAAATATATATATATAAAATGTTGATTCTGAAGGAGTTTGGGAACATTTCTCATTACTGAATCAGCTCTTCCAGCTAGTAAGAATCCACGGGAAGAATTTTGGAGGCATATAGCTTTCAGATTGCTTGCCATCGGAGTTTCTTAGCATCATCAACGGACGTAATATTAATAATTAAGCTTGCGGGTGAAGAAGATATAATAAGATGCTAATTTCACAACCTGAATGAAGAACATAGATTCTTTTCTCTTTAATTAACCTATGACTTTAAGCTAAGAAAATAATATTCCCTTTGAAAAATAGGTATTAAAAGTAAGTCTTATGATTGAGCACGGAAAAGGGTGATATTTCTGAGCGTGATGCGCTATCTACTTAATAGATCCTTCTGTCTCTCTCTCCATCTAACGAAGGCTAACAATTTTTTAATAAGAAATATCGATTTTTATGTCTGCTTTAAAAATTTAAAGAATAGAATTATTAAATTTTATCGTCTATACAAGTTATAGACCATACTTGAGGAAAGAAAATTGCTTATAAATTAATTTGAGAATTTATAATAGAAGAACGATTTATTTATACGTAATATTGTTGTCATCACAGAGAGAGAGAGAGAGAGAGAAAACTGGTGGTGGTGTGGATCCATATCCAACAAGGGAGGGACCATAGTAGGAGCGTAGACGCACGTAGAAGAAAAGAACAAGTGAAGGTAAAGTAGAGTGTTTAGCGTATTGACATATATGCTTTTACCTTTTTCTCGTTTTGCTGTTGAGACAAAAGCAAGAACAAGAAGCACCAAACAGCGACCACAACTCACAATCCAACCTTCGACCTTCCACGTCACCATCTTCATTTCGACGTTGACCCGAGATAGATGGGGAATTCGTTTGGGTGTTCGGCCTCCGGCGAGAGGCTGGTGTCGGCGGCGAGGGACGGTGACTTGGTGGAGGCAAAGATGCTTCTGAACTGCAATCCATGTCTTGCCAAGTACTCAACTTTCGGTGGACTCAATTCCCCTCTCCATTTTGCAGCTGCCAAAGGCCATAACGAGGTACCCTTTTTTGTTTTTCTCCCAATTTTGTTTGTGCTTTCTCAAAGTTTTTTCCTTTATTTTTTTTTCCGTGGTGTGTTTCCATTAGATTGTGGCATTGTTGCTTGAGAATGGAGCTGATGTCAATTCAAGAAATTATTGTGGCCAGGTGAGACTTTTTTCTCCTCTCTCCCCTTCTTCCTCCTTTTCTTTTAGATTTGAGGATTCTGTTTTGTATTTGTGCGCTGGAATATATCTTTTCCGTTTTGTGTGTGATTCTATTCCATGAGGCAAATTGCTCTGTTAGAAAACATAGCTGGTGTGTGCATTGTAGTAAGCAAAGAGATCGATGGATCTGGTATCAATTCAAAGGAACCCACCTTAAGAACATGAAACTTTACCAGATTTTCTTTGGCTTCTTTTAAAAGATGTGCGTGTGCAGCTTTACTAATTTGGTAATATGGTTTGATTTGATCCTTGATTTGAAGACCGCCTTGATGCAAGCTTGTAGATATGGGCATTGGGAAGTTGTACAGACACTTTTACTCTTCAGATGCAATGTGAGTCCCGCTGTACTTTCTCTTTCCCCTCCTCTTTTTTATGCATCATTTCTATCTGAACTTTTTTCCAATCTCACCATAACTTTGTATTTACTCTAGCAGAGACAATAGGTCATAGGATTGATTTGAGAAAACTACCTCCTAAGCTGGACTTGATTATTTAGTTTTGTGTTGCATGGTAAAATTTTATTTCAAAATTCACTAAACCGTAGTCTATTAAATAACAGGTTATGAGAGCAGATTATCTTAGTGGGAGGACAGCTCTTCATTTTGCAGCTGTGAATGGGCATGTAAGATGTATTAGACTTGTTGTGGCTGACTTTGTTCCAAGTGCTCCTTATGAAGCTATACATGCTCACACAGATGTTGACAGGGGTGGCGGATCAAATGTGAAAAGCAAACATGAGCAAAGGTACCCCTTTCCTTTTCATTATGTTATATTTTACTTTGGCTGTCTTTAGTATACTTGTATTTTAATATTCTTTATATTTACGTCACCAATTATGTAGTATTTCATTTGTTACTTGCTCTAATTACCTATAGAGATACATACATAGTTACTTCCTACATGATAGAGTAAATCTTAGATAAATTATTAGTTGCACAAATTATTCATAATTTTTTTGAGGGAATGATGACATGGAGATTTCTTATGGTGTTCTTTGCTGTCATGAATGTTTTAAGGTCCGACTTTGCTAGAGTTGTCATTCAGGTCTGTTATATTCTTGCAATTTATTTACTTTATTCCAGTGCAGTGCCCTGTCCAAGTTTGTAAATAAGACCGCTGATGGTGGTATCACTGCCCTTCATATGGCTGCGTTAAATGGGTACTTTGATTGTGTACAACTGCTGCTTGATCTTAATGCAAACGTGTCTACTGTGACATTTCATTACGGAACATCAATGGATTTAATAGGTATGTCTTTTGCTTAATGCGATAAATATCTAAGGTTATCTCTCCCCTTAAAAACATAACTAATGTGATTTTGATGTAGGCGCTGGAAGCACTCCGTTGCATTATGCTGCTTGTGGGGGCAATTTAAAATGCTGTCAGGCAAGAATTGCTTTAGTTTTGATCTGTGATATACCTTCTGGTCCTTTCTTTTGAAACTGGCAATAATGTTATTCTTTTGCAGATCCTCCTTGCACGAGGTGCAAGTCGGATGGCTTTAAATTGCAATGGGTAAGATATTGTAAATAGGTATTTTAGTCCAAATTTTCACTTGATTGATAACATACTAATGCAAAATTATCTTTTTTCCCTGTAGGTGGCTTCCTCTTGATATTGCCAGGATGTGGGGGCGTCATTGGCTTGAACCATTGCTGGCACCCAGTTCTGATACCACAATACCTACATTCCCTCATTCAAATTACTTGTCCTTGCCTCTTATGAGTGTGCTCAACATTGCTAGGTATTTGCAGTCCACTATGTCTGTTTCTCTAAGGCAACCCAACTCATTTCATGTGGAAATCTATTTTGATAATGAAAATAATAGACACCTAGTGGGGAACATTTCTTTATATATATTTTTGGCAGCTTATTGGGGACCATAATTAGTCCATTGACCAAAAAACTAAAGTAATTTAGGCAAGCTATGAAAATAGGCTTGTATGACTTTCAAGATTTATCGCCCCTCATTTAGGTAAGGACTGGAGGGGGAAAAAATAAGCATGCCTGAACTTGTGACCCATCAGTTACGAATCTAATTTACAACACAACCTTTTTTTGAATTTGGTTCCTTTTATAGATTAAAAAAATGGGATGCTATACCTTTTGAATTTCCGTGAGTATTCCAAAAGATGAATATACATCTATATTAGTTCTTTGATTGGTTTCTGCCTATTGTTAATGTTTTCAACTTTCAGAAATACCCCCAGAAACTTTAGATTCTAGATTTATCATTAGAATAGTTAAACACAGGAGTAATTGATGTTGCTGGGAAAGGATTTTGATTTATAAATCACAGGGTAAAAAAATTGTGTTAGAATTTTTTCAATAGTTACTTGTAGGGAATTTCTAAGGAAATTGAAATGCAAGGGTTGAACACAGTATTTGATAAAAAGAATGCTTGAGGGACTATATAATGTAATTGATTAAGGGCTTGAGTTAAATAAGCTAAGAAAAATAAAATAGTTCATTCAGTTGAAATTTTATTGGAACTGTGTAAACTGTTATGGTTGGCATTTGATGCGCCATGAGTGTATGTAATTTTATTCAATCGATAATATGAAAATATTGGAAGCGAAATGAAAATTTGAAATGTCAAATTTTATATTGAGTAAATTACTCGCCAATCCTCAATCCTGCATTTTATGTTTACACTACACAGACCTCTCCTCTTTTATTGAAACTACACAAAGCTCTAAAATCTGCTACTATTAAATCTAAATTGCTGTTGGTCCGAGCCTGACAGATTCGTTAATTTATGTTACTTGGGTTAGTAAGGTGGGGTATATTTTATAGTTAATTATTAAAGGGAAGAATGTGTTCTTCAGTTGAAAAATGATGCTATGATTGATTTGATGGAATATATGCAGAGAGTATGGACTGCAATCATCTACAACCTCCTCTGATGAGATTGACTTTTGTGCTGTATGCCTGGAGAGGCCATGTTCAGTGGCTGCCGGAGGTACTGTATTTTTTTATCTTTTGAATATTTTGTTTGCGTGGCTTCTGCACGTGATTTTTTATAAACCGCAGAAGTTAAAAATGGACCCATATCCTAAGTACTAAGTAGTGATTATGTTAGAACAACTTTCCTGAGCCCAAAAAGTACTGTCAGAAATATTATTCTATCTAATAAGCTATCATACCTCTTTCTGCGTCTGTTCGCATCCACCTCGGGTGGGGTGTGGGGAGTGACCGCGGTTGTTCTCATCCTCCATCACTGTACTTTCACATATTTTTCCCTGTTAAATTTTCATGATCTGGTGTTAGGATTTGGAAGATTTATTCAGCTTTGCCTAATAGCTTAACTGATACCGTTAGATTATGCATGCAGGATGTGGGCACGAACTTTGTGTAAAATGTGCACTCTATCTTTGCTCAACAAACAATGTTTCTTCTGAACTGCATGGTCCTCCTGGCTCAATTCCTTGCCCTCTTTGTAGACATGGAATTGTATCTTTTGTTAAATTACCGGGTTCCCAAGCAAAGGAAAATAAACTACACGTGTCTCTTGGCTTGTGTACCCCATGCATGCTGCATCCACGTGACCTAGATCAGCCATCCCTTTCTCATACACCAGAGATTCGAAGAAACCGTGTAGCTTCTGTTCCTTCAGAGATACTCTGCCCTGTCACTTGCAGTCCATTTCCATCTATGGCAATTCCTCTATGTACTTGCAATGATGGTCCATGTCCTTCATTTGAACCCCGGGAAGTTGAAACACAGGATGAATCACCTCATCACTCTCAGGCATCAACAGTGGATCAGGATAAAATTGATGGGCCAAGACTGGATAAAACAACCTGCTCTAGCATGTTTTGGGGTAGAAGAAGTTGCAGCAGGGAGCACCAATGCAATTCAGAAATAAATGCTTGACTCGTTTGCCATCTGTATTGACCTATTCTTATGTTGTGGAATGTGGATAATGGATACACTTTAGATCGATAGAGCAGTCCACAGTTGTCTTGTGAACCAGCCTCTAATACTGGAAATCAGTGTTAAAGAAGAGAAAAAGCTGCTGCCTGAATGGGCTTTGCTGCACAGGCTTTATGGTTAGGTGATAGAGACAATTCTGGTTTCAGCATCACAACCACCTTCTGAATGCCCTTCTGTGACAATTTAGAAAGTGTGTGAAATTAGTTTCAGTTTCATGAAATTGTTATTGTGATTTATTGTAATTGGATTTCATTTTATTAACGAAAAGAAAGTGGTTTTATAAGAGGAAAAGAATATCCTATGCTTAGCATGTATAAGATTAGGAGTATTTGTATATTATGCTTGTCATGAATTTTATAGGTTTACGAAGCACAAATTTGTGGACTGAAACTTGCTGATGCAGTTATAAATAGTTAAAGAATGTTTGTTTACTTGAGGGTTTCCCTCGTCCACATTAACATTGTGCTGCTGAAATATTTGCTTAAGAATGTTTGTTTACATGTCGTGTTTAAGTCCCTCGCATAATATAGATATGGATAAATGAGGGCTATAAAGACTAAAGCAATATTCATCTTATGAGTTAGGTTTTAGGCTTAAAAGTTTAAATTCAACATGATAACTTACTACGATGACACAATATATATATATATTAGCCTATATGTTCACAGGCTTTATTTCTATTTCAACTACACTCTTCGGTGGAAAAAATGCATACTATTTGAGAAATATCTTCAACTAGATTGGTCATAAGAGCGTGAACTAAAGTATCTTTTGCAAAGAATAATTGACAATTTGGGAATTACTAGGTCCTACGTCAAATTTCATCTAAGCTGCATTGTTCAAACTCTATTTTTTCCTTTTCAAGTCCAATCTTAGACATTCTGTCACAAAATAGAATTTATTGAAAATACAATCACACATGAATTCGCATATATAAAGGAAAATGTGATTGAACACATAACAACGTCAAAGATATGTGCAATAGCCCTAGTTCAATTTTTCAAATATCATTACCTTAATTTAGTCGATTTCAAATCTTCCATTTGTTAATACTAGTTTTTTCATATATTTGGAGTTCATACATCTTGAAGTTTGATACTTCATGCCAAATTTGTGATTGATTAACATAATTTATTTCTATATTTTATTCATCAACTTAAAAAGAAATAGCTTTTAAATTTATTCGTTTATAATAAAATAAAATATCCATTCTTGGTAATGTAGACATCTCCGATTATACTTTATTCTTCCTTAATTATTTGACAATGGTAACATTCCTTTATATATTTTTATTCTAATTTAATTATTCAGATGTTATCTAAATTTAGAAATACATATGTATAATGCCCAAGAAACTTGCTAAAAATTTGTCACCTATTTTCTGAAAACCCCAAGGCGACAAACGGCTTGTTTTTCCAGAAGAAAAATAAATCGGTTAGTCTCTCAATCATAGTTGAGATAAAGGCCCATATTGAATATTCAATTGTATTTCAAGTAGAATTCTCTCTCATAGAGCAACATTTGTGGGAAAGAAAAACAAAGTCTCCACAGCACTTGCAAGATCCTTAGCTTCTCACTAGCCTTGTGGGCCAAATAGTTTTTGAAACTGTAAATGAATACGGTCAAGCCCAGCCCTTACCAAAATACCGCTGAACACACGTTTCAGAAGCCCAGTAGCATCGAGCCCAATTCACTAAAACAGTTATAAAACTATTTACTTTCTTGGCTTTGTTATACGTTAGTTAAAAATGAAATCAATTGTCAGTTTTTAAATTTAAAAATTAAATTGACAATAGTTATAAAATTTAAGAACTAAAATATGAATAAAATTAACTGATAATATCAAATTTAAGGACTAAATTAGTTGAAATCTATCGTTTTTTGAGTGTACTGGTGTTATTAATTAATTTTAAACGTCGCCTTCGCCTGTAATGTAATGGTGCTTCCCAGTTAAAGAATTGATTATTTTAACTGTTAGGCTATGGCTATTATTAGCACTTGACTTTCAGGTTTCAGTGAGTGACCATTATTGCTTTGCGCCGTTGCAAGACCACTGCCATTGTTGCTTTTGCTTTCAAGAATACATTGCTGTCTTGCCAACAATGCAACGTAGCAACATTTTTCCCTGTTCAATTACTTCTACGTCGTACTTTGGTTTAAAACCAACGCAGAAAAGACATGTACGGAACGTGAAATCCATTTCTAAAATTTTTAAAAATATTTTATAAAATCATACAGTAAATGAATAAAAAAAGATTACCTTGTTTGGTAGTGAATTAATGAAGCTTTTAACAAAGTTGATAAAATGATGAAATGATGATTGCTATGTAGGTTGAGGATTATTACGTGGGAGATAGGGAAAATAATAAGAGAATAGCAGTAGGCGGTGCATATATTATGGAGAGTAGAATTAGAAGGGAGCAAGTTGATCATAAAAGAGTGTAGATATCATCACAAATGCAAGTGCTCTAGCAATTAATTTTCGACAACAGTTCCGCATAGGTCCCTATAAAAGTTTCTTAGCCCAAATCAATATTGCTTCTTTCCAGAGAAAGCTCAGGGACATATTTAATGTCTAATTTTAACCCCTTTTTATTCAAACATATAAATTAATGACTTTTCTTATATAGTAATATTTCATATTTTTATTTAATTATTTGAATGATAAAAATATTAACTTAAGGTTATTTATTCAACTATAGTTAAATCAATACCACTTAAATATTGCAACTAAAATATAAAATATACTAAAAATATGTATTACAGTAACAAAAGATTCCTCCGTATACTGAGACGCTCAGTTAATCGGTAGTGAGCACACATCGGATTATTTTTGAACAGTGAGTCATATTTGAAGGGAACCTTGTTGACACCATGATAAGCACATGTCCACTTGTAATGTTACTGATTCATCATATCAGAATGTACCCGTAAGGTGTCAGAAAATCACACTGTCAATTGATTTCGGATTCCAGAAAATGGTTGCAATTCATTTCGGATTACAGGAAATAGTTTCGGTATAAAAGCAGAAGAAAACGATAAAGATTCCAATGCAACTGCTAAAACATTATAAGGGCCCCTACACATTACTGCACAGTGCCAGTGCATGATCTTATTTACAATATATATATATATATATACTTCAATTAATCCAACCCTTTCAGTACACTGCTTCAACCAATTCTCATCGATGCCACTCGAGTGTTCTCTATCTAACAATCTTATTCATTATTATCGAGACCCTTCACTTGAAGACCAGCACAACCCCAAAAACAAACCAAGCTTAAAGCAATTCATCGTACATAAGAAAAAGTGACAGTGGTACCATCTTAATTACAATTAATATTTTGGACACATCAAATACCCATCAATCAACTGTGAACAAAAGAAAAAAAATAGCATAAGAATCTCACTTTCTATCTCACTCTCTTTGGTAACAAAGCAGGTATAGTAGCAGTAAAATTCAGATACTTTTGGCTTTGGTCACGCAAGGTCATATCGCAATCTTTCTCAATTTTCCATTTTTGGAATAATTTTTCTTACAGATTTAAAATCCACAGTGATGAAACTGAGGAAAAAATTTCCCAGCTTTGAGGCCCAATTTAAGCGTACACGCTTCCATGAATCCCATGAGTCTCTCAATCCCCAAAAGATCCTAATAATAATGCAGCATCAAACAGACTCTACCCATTTTTGAGAATGCCTTTATTTTGTGTATTTGCTGCTTTAGCAACACAAGCTGACGAATGCAAATGGCATTCACTGTGTGTGCACAGAACACACTAGTGGGACTGTGTGAGTAAGTGGTTGGTGCTTATGTTATGGGGGGGCCTGGTTCGCTGGCCCCTGCATGCATTTCTTTCTTGCCTTGGCAGTGATATGGCTCTGTGCTATTTTATTTTCCCTAGAAAATTACACACTAATTGAATTTCTCTTTTGGCCATGCACTAATGCTAATTACGGGTATTCTAAACAGCAACTTCAAAAAGTGTACATGAAATTTCAAAACTTTTTTTGCTAATTTTGTGGGCGGGTCCTTGTGTCGTTATCATATGACTCCGTTATAATTTTTTGTGGGTAGGTCAAGGGGCATTTGCTTATATATCCCCTCTGGATGTCTTTAAAAAATGGAGCCAGATTATGAAAAAATTCCTGTTTCATGTATACTTATGTCATGATGAAAACAACAACGCTCGCACCCCAGAAAAGGAGATAAATAAGAAAGAAAAAGACCCATTTCTAATTTCCAAACAGATCGAAACAAAAAAATAATTTAGTGCATGAAATGATGAGGTTCATCATCTTTAGAATTTTCTTTTCTGTGTGTGTCAATGTGAAGTGTTAATGTGTTTTTAAACCCAATTCAAAGTACTAAATATATGATACTATTTACTACGCATGTCTTATAGGGTTCCTTCAAAGGATATAATCAATATTAAAGTAGTAGAACACAACACTAAATCATAAAATAATTTTTTGAAAAACAATGGGGGTCTAGAGTTCCGATTTTATATCCTGCCCTTTCTATTAGTTCTAAATTAAATTTTTCAAATGCCGGTGTAGGTATTTTAAAATTTTCAAAAAAGTTACAAATAAAAATAAAAAATATTTTTGGTATTTGTAGTATGTATTTTATTATATTCATATAACTAAATGGAAAAATAATATTTTATTCCACTTTTAAAAGAAATGCGGTAATATTTTAAAATAAACAAAAATTATTAGAATAAAGACACATCATGCTGCATAAGTTACAATTAGCTCTCCAGAGAACAGACTCATGTACCAGTCATTAATGAATGCAGTAAGAGACAACACCAAAATTGAAGTCTTCTCCAGAAAACAGTAAAACTGATCCACATAGAATTACTGCAAGAAATTATATATATACAGTAATTATAATAATTATAATTAAAAATTTATTATTAAAATAATTTTGTAATAATATTTAAATTCATCATCTTAATAATAAATAAGTTATTATTATATTTATAATAATATTATATAACCATTAAAATAAAGTATCTATTATGATATAAATTGACATCACTGATATATGTATATATAATTCACAATTAATATACATAATATTTGTGATAAGTTATTAGTTACTAATATTTTAAAATGTAAAAACTAATTTATTCATCATTTTTAAAAATTATTTTAAATAATATTTTTTATAGCAATTTTTTTAAATTAATATTTGCTTAAAAATCAATTATTATTTAAATATCTTATTACTAATGATATTAATTGTTATTTTTTAAAATTAATTTCATAAATATGTTATATTTATAATATAATATTTATAACATCATAATAACGTTGTTAACTATTATATTTTTAAATAAAATAAATATAAACTAAGATAATAGATAATTAATTATCTATCATATATTTAATGACAAACTTAAATATAATAAATATCTAATAAAATTTTACACATAAAAATTATAAATTTAATCAAAATACATCATTAAAATTATAAATAAA